AAAAAAAAAAAAAAAAAAAAAAAAAATGAAAAGAAAAGAAAAATCTAGGTGTCTTACTGGATGTATGTTCATTTAGGTTATCAAGGGCCTCTTGTTAGTTTATTAGTTTCTTAAATCATATTCACCAATCAGTAACATTTTAAAAAACCATCTTTTCTTGGACTCATTTTCTATATTTCAGGCGATTGCACCTAATTCTTTCTCTACTAGTTCATAAAGACGAAGATGTCAAGTCTGAGGCTAATATTACCAGGGAGAAGGAAAATATTTCTACCATATTCTCCATCTTTCATAGTATTAAAAATAGTGAAGATATAGTTGATGCAACAAAGTCGAAGGTTAGGATACAAAATATCTTGTTGGCTTCTATTCTCCCATTCTATTCTGTTTTTTTTTTCTTTCAATATTCTTAATCAGAGAAGACTAATGACCACATTTGATAATTTTAATCATTGGGGTTTTCAGATTTCATTTGCAATTTGTGATCTTGGATTGTCAATCATCAAGAGATTGACCAGGAAAGAGGATGATTTTCGAGGATTGACTGCATCAATTTCTCTGCCTTCCATGTTGTACAAAACGAAGGAAAAGAAAGGAGGAGAAGATTCTGTTGTATGTTCAAAGCTTCTGCCTAAAATATGTACTCTTGTGACTCAATTTAATGTGCATTTTACTAAATAAGTTGGCAAAGAGTTTTTTGATATATGAACAAAACTAGGAAAGTCTAGTCTCTTGAAAGTTATGTTGTAGTAGCTAAGAAAGGAAACTTTTTAGTCATTCCCATTATATAGGGGACTTGCTGAAGTGTGACATATAGGCATGGGGTTATGGGTTTCACAATCCCTTCTTGTGGAATCACCTGGAGTTGCTCTTGCCCAAATTTGGGTTTTTATTATATTAAAATTAATCTTTTTTTTTTTCAATTGATAAAAGTATTATAATCTATTTTTAAAATTGAAAATGGATAGTAATAAATAATTGAAATTAGTTTTGGAGCTAGTTCATATTATTGAGTTGGAAAGTTGTGCCGAGGGATTTCAGAGGGTGGGCTTGGGATGGGGGATTTGGCAAATAAGTATTTCTCTTGGACTAGTGGTGCTTGTAAAGATCCCCCTCCCTAGGAAAAGGTCAAATCCTTTGGCATGCAGCCTTTTTTCCCTCCAATTTATAGAATATTTTGGTTAAAAGAATTTAGAGAGTTTAAAGATACTGAGAAAAATCAGTTCAGATTGATATGCATTTCATGGATCTCCTGGGGTTGTTGTTAAAGAGTTTCATAAGTCTTTTGAGATGCAAATATAGAGCGCTAATTCGTCCAGTGTCCTCTGCTCCCAAGAGTTTGGGATCAGATTTTATTTAAAGACTTTTGGCCTATCTTTGTGTCTGCCGGACTCATTTTTGGAGTGGTTGGTGCACCCATGGAGGAAAGCAAGGATTTTGTGGAAATTTGGAAGGAAAGAAATTGGTTTCAAAGACAAGTCCTGTACTTTTGAGTTCTTTTATATAATACTGTACAAATTACTTCATTCTTATGGTGTCTTGAACACAAGAAATTCTTTTTCAATTATAGTCCCTCTAATTCTCCAGGATTCGGACGTTGTGGTGCTTCACTAGTTTTTGTTTGGGGGTACCTCACCCTTCTGCCACTTGGCTGGTTTTCTCCATTTTGATGGCTTAATATGTCTCTGTTTCTTATAAAAAAAAGATCTTAACAGTTGGAGCAATCTCTTGTAGTTTGACTTTTGTTTTGTTTGTTTTCTCTGTTGTTTGAGCTGCTCTTTTTTATAGGCACCTCCTTTTAACTTTCATTTACCAATTTATAGGGACCTCATTTTATACTTTCATTTATCAAGCTGGTTTTTTTTCTCATTATTTGTTTATGAGTTCATTACTAATTATTTTATAGATAGTATTTATATACATACTGAACTATGACTTACCGTTGGAAAAAGAATGTTAGAAGATGTTTCTTTAACATTTTCCTTTAGATTGCAATAATATTGAGAGTTCATTGTAGTTTAGTCATGGGTTATGTTGATAGACTGATATTAATGATACTATGAATCCGAATCATGGCGGAGACTTTATACATGGTCCTTGCATGGTGGGTTGGTGATTGTTTTCTGATGTGATCATGTTTTTGACAGGCTGATCAAACTGAAAGTGAAGCAAAAACATGGTTGGTTGATGAAACTGTTTTGGCTCACTTTGAGTCACTCAAGTTAGAATCAACTGAGGTTGTATGTTTTATCACTATGAGTGTTTTATGTATGACTGCGTCATACTTTAACTTCCTAAGTCTTAACACGATTTTTTGATCATCAGATTTGTACAGAAGCTGCTGCAGATGAGGTTCAGAATAAAGATGAAAAAGATGGAAATAACGTGCCTCTCGGAAAAATGATTAAAGTTATGAAGTCATCGGGATCAAGGGGAAAAAAGTCTAAAAATGTCAAGAAGAAACTGGTTGAGAAGAATGCAGAAAACGATGTTGATATCTTGACAATGGTGAGGGAAATAAATCTGAGTACTACGAGCAAACTTGAATCAACCAATGGTCGTGAAGATTTTCATGTTAAGAGAACGAATGTGGATGCAATGCCTGCAAGGAGCAAAAAAAGAAAAAGTAGTGATGCAACATCTATTCCAGTCTCAAAACATCAAAAATCATCATCTGGCCATAGTCGTTCTAGATCCAAAAGTACTTCAAAGGCACATTCACCTGGTTCAGGAAATACCTCACTGAGTGAAGTTGACATGGGGAAAAACCATGATTCAGATGACGATGTATCCAAAGCGAAGATGATTGGAGGAAGCAGAGCGTCAGATTTGTTGGTCTCATGTTTGAAAAAGCCTACAGTTTCTTCCAAGTCTAAAGCCAAAGGTTCGGGCAAGGGTCATTATGATGAGGAAAATGACCTTGAAAATTCCATCGACCTTGTTGATAAGGTGGCATCTTAACTATGCCTTGATCATTCCTTCCCGCTTTTCTTTGTACTTATATTGCATTTATTTAATTCCTCTTTTTATAGTGTTTTTTAACATCGTGAGTATTGGCAGTCAGGTCAACTTACACCCATCATTCTTCCTTTTTAACATGCAGCATTCTAGTGCTCCGGAAAAGGTTGATAAGAACAAGAGTAACTTGAAATCCTCAAGTGGGGGTGTCAAGAAGAGGAAACGAAGAAGCATTGCAGGATTAGCAAGGGTATGCTGTTTTCTAATTGTGATATGCATGTTAATCTAACTATTTGTCCAGTTGACGTGCTCAATTATGTAGCATGTAGAACTAATTTTAAGGAATTTTGTTGACAGAAAAAATGCACCTTCAACGTATTCTAGCATTCATATCTGAATCTTAATTATGTGTGCCAACAATTAGTCTTCTATGTACCAAAATGTTCTAATCTCAAGCATGAAGAACTCTGTTCATCACGGACTGATGTAGGCCACCAATTTTTTCTAAATCGGAAACAAACTTTTATTAATAAATGATAAGAATATAAAAGTTCAAGGATACTAACTCCCATAAGGAGTGAAAGAGAAAGGAAAACAAATGTACTACCAACCAAACAAAGCAAAACAAGAACCAACCAGACCTAAGGCTCCAACCACTGGTTCCTGAACAAACCCAGCAAAAAGAAATTAAAAAAAAAAAAAAAAAGAACCAAGAAAAAATTCCAACCTGCAAAGCTTTCTAACGTTCAGCCTAACACCCGATCCAAATGAAAAGCCTGCCCCGAACACCACCAATGCAAAAGTAGAGCAACATGAGAATCCACAAAGCAAGTGCTCCAATGGAAGTTTTAGATTTATTTCTTTTCTTTTATTTTTTGGAATAAAAAGAAGGAACCATTCATCAACAACAGCTGAAATGCTCTCTTACATAATTGTAGTATTCTTTTGTAATCTCACTGGACGGGTCGCTGAAAAAAAAAAATAATCTAATGAATGAATTTATCATTTGTGGAGTGAATTATGCCATGAAAAAGAGGGGGATTGGTCTTTGAGAAAGGAAGGTTCCCAATTAAAGAAATTTCAATACGCTTTTCATTTTTATTCCTATCAAGTTGTAAGACAATGAACAATGTTTCTGTTTCCAGCACTTGCTTGTTTATCGAAAATATTAATGTTCCACTCTTAAGATTATGTTATGTTATTAATCCTTCTGAAATTTATTGGCTTGACCAAGTCTATATATTCTTTTTAGTGATTTTAGATATTATTATTATTACTATTATTATTATTATATTAAGTATCATTTTCTTGCTTAAATCATATGGTGTCCAACCTGATTCAGTTCATAAATGTAGTGCATGTTCAAGTATGGAGAAAATGATATTGAAGACTTGATTGGATGCAGAATTAAAGTTTGGTGGCCCATGGATAAACAGTGAGTACCTTATTTATCTCATATCTATAGTTTTTTTTCCCTGTTATCATGTTTTCTCTAGAGGCAAAGTCATGTTTGAAAGTTTTCCTTCTTTATCGTTGTCTAGTTTATAATTATACTTCATTCTTGAATGTAGATGAAACGTCAGTGTTCATACATTTCTAAATTAAAAGTGTCCTTCATTCTTAAATGTGGACTCGATTCTTTGATGAGTTTGGTTTTTCTTTAGCTAGACAGTGCTTTTGCACAGTGATAATCAAGGACTTCCTTCTTCATCCCCCCTCCCCCCCTTTTAGGGAAAAAGAAAGATTTTATGAAAACGAGACTGTGTGCTATTTTGCGGGGGCTATGGGGTGAGAGGAATAAGTGTCTTCCTAGTTACTGAAAAGTTCTAAAATCTTGAACACTCAATTGAGTGTGTGCTATTCTGCTGTTTTTATTCAATTATTCTTGTTTGCTTTGTGAAGAATTATTATAATTGCAGAGTCGCATATGCTACTTTGTATATGACGTACTGGTTTATTGCTTTTATTTTATAAAGTTATATTATTATCACCACGTTTCTGATGTATATCATTATTTAAAAAATTTCAGATTCTATAAAGGCACAGTGAAATCTTATGACCCAATAAAAAGGAAACATGTGGTAAGCTGTTCCATCTTACCCTCGTATCCCCTGATTTCTTTTGATTCTTCGTGCTTGACAAGGAAAATTATTTGTGCTCAATAACTTGCAAAGTTCCTTACAACTTTTATTCCATGAATTTAATATACAAGATACTATATGATGATGGAGATGTTGAAGTGCTCAAACTTGAGAAGGAGCGGTGGGAGATCGACAGAGATCACAAAACTTCAAAGGTATGAGAATTATTAGCCCATTTATTCCATATTGCCTCAAACTGTTTGACCAGATGAAGGTAATTAGATTCTTATGAATTTTTTCATTTTGTCATTTACAGAAACTAAAACTGTCCAGAAGTCGTCCTTCCCTCGAAGTGTAAGTTCTACCTCTCAGAAATCCGTTTCATCTTTTTATCAGACCACATTCAGCTGTGTATAAAATACTATCTATGCTTAATTGATTTCCAAGAATAGATTTCAAATAAGCTATTATTGTAGAAACTGCACCATCTTTTTTTCCGTAAAAACATTGTACTAACAAGGAAGGGAACAATTCCCTTTTGCCATCGCAAGAGGGGTGATGATTACAAAAGGCCTTGGAGATGGAACTCCTTCAAGAATCTTTATCTGGCAATTCAAATTTCGTTTCAAGTATGGATAGCATTAAGTGTAGTATCTTTACCTTTGCCTTTAAATTGGTGCCTCAACACTAGCTGAAGCAGGGATTCTCAACCTCCCAGGGCTGAAATCTGCCAAACATTTTACACCAACTTCTATCACAGAGCTAGATTGAAGGAATATATGGCCGAAATATTTTCAGCACTTCCCGTGATGACTAGGGATGATTTCGAATGCGTCTTTTGAATCCTTATCTCAAGTACTTCGATTCTTTGGAGATATGGTGACTATGTGAAAACTTGACTCTGGGATTTAGATTTTCAATGAGGTTTAGTAATCCCTGAAAGTAGGTTTTGAAGTCAAAGGCTGAGTTGCATCGAATAAATTCTTTTTCAGAACTTTAGTGTCCAAGAGCTCTATCAACTTGCATAGCCTGCTCAGCAACTTCTTAGTCAATTAAGGGCCATGTAATTCAAATTCTTAACCTGAAAAGACTCCTCCATTGGCTAATCCACGAGGTCATAAATTCAAGGGATCTGAGCAAAACCAGCTGCCTTTACCATGGAATCTCCAAAATTTTATTTTCTCATCATTTCCAACTTTTGTTAGTTTTTCATCTAATGCTTCTCTTTGAGCGTAACCAGTGGAAATGAGTCCTGTTATGACTCGTTTAATTTGTGCGTACATCTAGATGTTATTCTGTCTCCTTTGCTCTATATAATGTCTTTGTTTCCATGTGTTTTAAATTCTTTTGCAGTACACTTGGATTGAAGAATAAAGACTTGGGTGGTTCACGTTCTATTAAGAAACCATTTAAAATGTAAGTGACTCACGGTATTGATATTGCTTCTTTTCTATTTGTTATAAAGCACTTGGATGATGTTTTACTGTGTTCCAGAGCGAAAGGAAAAAGGACACCAAAGAAAAATTTAAAGCATAGTCAAAGTGATGCAACAAAATTAAAATTTTCGGATGCTGGCGAGAAAGGGAGTTCAGATATTTCAAACCCCGGAATTTCCAAAATGTCTAATGTATATAACAAAGTGGACTCAGGTAAAACGTGCTCTCTTCTAAATTTTTCCATATAATTCTTGTACCATGGAGTTCTTACCACGAAAATAGTAAGTTGTTTAAGCATCATCATTTGTCTAGTGGACATCTTTGTCCTAGTTTTCGAGAATATTTTGAGTAAGATTTATCTATCTGCCTCGACTGTTCTAGAGCATACGTTTGTTTCCTAATCTGTGCTTTGTATGAAGTTTGAAGTCGACTGCACAATTATGTTAGTTTAACATCTTCATGTTTGTTCTCTTGCAAAGTTTTTCCGTTTCATCTTTATATCCATACGATATTTATGCCCTCAATAATGAGTATCAGTTCATTTTCCTTGGCCAGTTTATAGAGAATGGTTGCGCTATGATTCATGCATACATTTTTTGAACAACATATTTTAAAGCTTTGTAGAAAAAAGCATTATTATCCCTGATTGTGCAAATCTTACTTGTTTTTTGTTTTTTGTTTTTTGTTTTTTCTGAGAGCTCATTGTCACCTCCCAGGTGATTCCGAAGGGGAGCACATGCAGACTCTTGACAAGGAGTTCACAGACCAAGAGGACTCTGACAGGGAAATCAAGTCAGACTCGAGAGGAAGAGGTGAAGGGGAACATTATATCGAGGAATTCGATGAAGAAGAGAAGCCTGATGTTGACCATGATCTTGATGAGGATGCTGAGAGTTTTGAGCAAAATGCTGATAACGCAAGAGAAAAAGTTGATAAAGAAGACATGGAAGCTGACGAGTTGGGTTCAAGAGAGAACATAGACAACGACGACTCCGAATCTGGAAAGATTCAAGGGACCATAAGGGAACAACAAAGTAGTCCCAGAGAGGAGCAGAAAGGCAAGGTTGATGAACTTTCTGATGACGAGCCTCTCGTAAGTCATATCTAACCAGTAACTCGCATTGCATTTATGACATGTACGTTTCGTAAAGCTTATATCATAAATCTTCATCAATTGCAGAGCAAGTGGAAGCATCGAGCGGGAAAACGAGGCTTGAGATGAACACAGTCACAAGTATAGTATAGTTGTCGAATACTTTCAAAAGGCCAATGGCTATGGCGGATTCCAAGTGAGCTGCTGAGAAGATGATAGGTGGTGCCAAGTGGGTGCCAGTTTCAGTAGGCAAAAGGAATGTGAGAGGTAGAATATACTGACCAAGTTGCTTCACAGCACAGCTACATGTAGAAGGCAACATAGCAGAGACGCAGTTTCTGATGTTTAGGGGATCAAAATATTAAAAGGATTAATAGCTTTTGAAGTAGAGGGGATACATGAATAGGTGTTTTGCATATAATATCCGTATCATGCCTTTTTTTGTGTTTACTGCCTTTATAAGACCTTTCTGGTTTCGATGTTAAAAAGTGGCCCACATGTATAGTTTGAATATACATGGTTATCATATATATAATGTATTGATATTGAAGAAGTCTTCAGCCTGACTACACCATTGTCTCGAGCACACTACATTTTGTCTTTCTAAAAAGAAAAATGAGTTTGATATTTAACTAACTTGTTATAAACTAGTTTTGTAAATTACCTTTCCATAATATTTGAAGTTCAATATGCAATGAGTTATTTATAGATTTTAGTATAAGTCGGATCCCCGATCCAACCGCTACCTTGATTTCTAAACTCATTTATTAGGGCCTCTCTCTCATATGAAGGTATTCTTACTAACCTCAAGTTTTATCTACTGACTTTGTTTATGCTTATTATAAATTTCGGACTCATATCGGACTCATATGTAAGTCTGTCTTGTCTTGATAAAATACGGCTTGTCTACTATACTCTCTAGAGGCCTAAAATACTACACAACATGATGGTTAGAAATACTCATTATTCATAATTTAGCACGCAACGAGGATGGGTAGACTAAGGATACTCGTACACATCTCATATCATAACAAGCTCATAAGCATAAACTAGAGTTATACATCATACTTACTCATCATGAATTTCTACCTACTCACTTCTTATGCATACCATCTGTGGTGATTTATTTCATAAAATCTCATAATTATTTTTAGTAATTATTTTGATTATTTTATTTGCGATTTAATATTATCTATGGTATAAAAAAAATATATATGAAGTTATTAATCAAACCGTATGAAGTTATCCTACCAGAAGATTATGTTTAAGTAATAACCTAAAAGATGTATAGTATATGAATATGATTAGATGTTTTATCTTGGTAATATTATTGATACAACTCACTTTATAATTATTACAAATGATTTAATCCAAACCGTTTATGTAGAGACATGTGAGTGGGGGTATACTATAAAATGAGTTTGTGTAAGACTCGACTACAAAATATTCTCTTTTTATAAACCATTAGTTGAGAAAATTAATATTTTCACAAGATGAACATATACGACCTGTTCTTAATCTTGAGAGAGTTGTAAACTCCTGCGTGTGAACGATGTAATTATAGGGGTAAAACAGACTTTTGACCCAACTGTAATTACGAAGACTCATAAATGATGGACTTACTTGTAATGATTATATTAATAAAGACAACTTGTCCTCTGTTGCATAAGAGAACAACTCTAGATCTATAGTGGAGTGACTTATAGTTAACAAATGTAGTTTAATTAATTAATTTAGTATCAACTTTTAATATGTAGGTCCATAAAGTTCCCCTAACCATAATACTAAAAGTGATAAGAAATCATTGCAAGGAAGTAAAATTCAAATTACCTTGTTGATCAAATATCTCAAGACAATAATACTTGTTTGTGATTCCAAACATTCCATAAGCAAGATTGATTATGTTTAGCCGAATGATTCTAAACTACGTAGATTTGCAAAGAAACTTAGTTATTGGTTAAGGAAAAGGTGAGACCACTTAGCCCTAACAATAATGATTACTCTGAGGGAAAGTAAAATTTAGATTATTTTATTGATTAAATATCTCAAGGAAAGAACATTTTATTGAGATTCGAATCACTCAATAAGTAAGCAAGATCGATCGTATCAGACTTGACTGATTGTAAACCTGCAATCTAACCTATATAGAATTGCAAAGAAACTTAGTTATTGTCTAAAGGAAAGCAAAAATGTTCTTTTACTACATTTTTCAAAGTATCTTTTACAAATACAACATACATGACTTTATATAGTCAAAATGAAACCTTTGACCTTCCATTAGGCACTTCAAGAGTTGTAATATTCATACTTTATAATCATAATTAACCCTGATGTAAAGGTAACCTAAAATAAATAAAATGTCTTAAAATGCATTAATGAAACATCATAACTCTAAATGATGATCCACCCAAAATTTATAACAATGAAATTTGATTCTTCTTCAACGTGACATGAATTAAAACATCTTTTGATAATTTTAACATTTTTTTCACATCTTCTTTGAAGTCACATAACATAACCTGAGCATGCCTTCAACATATCATATTATAAACAATTCAATTTATCACATACAACATAACATTCACGTAACATTTCATATACATATCATTTCATAACAGTTTACATACACAAGCATATAACACGTGCGAAATGACATATACATGTCATCATTCAGCACACAATTATAACCAAACGACAGTAGAATCACTTGGTTGGCCTAGGCAGAAACTACTACAACCCCTTAATGTTAGTTTAATGCTGCTATCTGAAATTTAATTATCCCTAAAGAGTCGAACATCATAAATTAGAATTCTACTATGAATTGGCCAACCTAGTTACAACCTTTTAATGCTAGCTTAATGCTGCTCTCGGAAATTTAATTCTGCCTAAAGAGTCCAACATCAGAAAGTAGAATTCTACTATGAAGTGGCTAGCTTAGTTTTGCATAAAATAATTTAAACTTACCTCTAATAGTTTAAACTAGCTGAGCCTAATTTTGCATAAAATGACTTAAACTTACTCATAATACTTTAAACTAGCTAAGCCTAATTATGCATAAATACTTTAAAAGCTTCTGAAGAATTGAAACTAGGAGGAAAGGATCCAAGCGTGTAATGCCCCTAATTTTCTCTGCCCTAATTAGCGACGTTACCTTATACTCGCATAAGCAACATGACAAGAGTTCACGTGAGAGAGTCTCAATAACGACCATGCATTCATTAATATAAGCAGTTCATACCTAGGGAAAACAATAGTGACAACCTAGCCTAGAAATAATCAACAAAGAACTAGAGGAAACAATCGCAAAACTATGAACCCAAAAGAATACAACAAGGCGCCTACGACACTACAAAATCTCCTCAAGATTTCCATGGCCCTTCACATCATCCACCGTCAGCCGTACATGGGAGCCTTGCCCTTACCTGAAAATATGGGTAGCACGTGGCTTGAGTATTATATAAAATACCCAGTAAGTCGCCCCACTATTGGGGTTAAGCATATAATCACACATCCGGATACAAGCAGTCGCACACAATACACATACATGACGCACACAACACACATACATGACGCACACAATGTCCATACACGTCGCACATAATGTCCATACACGTCGCACATAATGTCCATACACATCGCCAGTGTTAATAGAAAGAAACTGAGAAAGGGGTTTGTCTTCCATTCCTTCCCATGGCCTTAAGCCCTTGCTTTGTCTGGGCGAGGGTGGATGCATGGTACTTTCCCACACATGGCCCACGTGGGTGACTATGGGCCCACCAGGCGAGTTCGCAAGCGAACTCCTTGGGCTTGGCTTGGTCGGGTATGTATGACATACAATATCGGACACCACGGACAAAGGAGGGCCTGCATGATATCATGGCGAACACAATATTGAATATACGCGTCCATACCATTAGTAGCATAACGGGGGAGTGCCCCAGGTACATAACCATAGCGTGCATGAGGTTCTTAAGGTTTACCTCCATGGCATTATACATAAACGTTCCATCCCCTCGCCGCATGACCTAGCATAACTGGGTCAACATCGAGCAAGCATATCATAGCATACTAGTCATATCATTCATGGCAGGCGGGGTTCTCATTACAATCATGCCATGTCAGTCAAGCTCATACATACAGGGTAATAAGCCGTGTCACAAACATCATATACATAAACATGGCATATATAGCATTTCGCTGCAAGAATCGCATACATAAACATGGCATACATAGCATTTCACTGCAAGAAACATCTAACCTAGCATACATCAACAACACATGGTGCATGCAAGGGCCATAGGGCACACACCAACATACATACATAACTGACGCCAACAGTAAGGTTACTTACCTCATTGGCCTTGGCCGAAGTCACCCACAACGCTAACTCCAGTGCCTAGCTACCTCCTATAAGATAACATGATACACTTAGAGCCCTTTCACAACTATCCCTTATGCCTAGCTACCAAGGTACGTCCCTATCGCAAGTTATTTTGTCAAAATGGAGTTATACTGACCTCAGATGGTTGAAACAAGGGTGGGAATGGCTCGAGAAGGGTCGAAAACCTAGGAATCGGTATACTATTCGAATGTCGCCACCAAGCCGAACCTAGCCAAGCTGGAAGTTTGCGGAGCCGCCGATGGAGTTGAAACCGATGGCTGCGACGAACACTGCCGGCGCAGGGTTTTGTTGAACACAACTCTCTGTGGGAAACACTCGCACTCTTTATTAAAACCAATCGAGAAGAGAATACAAGACACTATGTAGAATACTTTTTGGATTTCTTGGATGAATAACCTAGGTAGGGTGGAGGTGTATTTATACTAGAGCCTACACAATCTAGACCTAACAAATCTAAATCTTTTTCCTAAAATATTTAGATCTCTTCTCCTAAAATCAGATATCTTTCCTAAAATCTCTACTAAAATAAATACACAATGGGCTCGTACAATTATTGTGCTCGACTCTATTGGGCTAGTGATGATATTTCAACACTCCCCCTCAGTACTAGTTCTCATTCGCTGCACCATGTTGTTAAGCTGACAGCGAAAACTCTCATGTTTGCCAATATTCAGCCCTTTTGTAAACAAGTCTGTCACTTGGTCATTTGTCTTGATCTGCTACATCTCGATTTCTTCCTTTAGGACCTTCTCTCTAATGAAATGGTAGTGCACCTCCACATGCTTTGTTCTAGCATGAAACACAGGATTTTCTGCTAGGCGAATCGCAGATTGGTTGTCGCAAAGAAGTGATATTGGATAGTCAATTTTATGGTGCAAATCTTCCATCAAGAGTTTCAGCCATGTACTTTCCTGTGCTGCTCCAGCTGCTGCTCTATATTCTGCTTCTGTAGTTGATAATGATACTGTTGGTTGTCTCTTGCTACACCAAGAAATTGTTCCCGAACCAAACTTGAACACAAACCTAGTGGTTGACCTCCGAGTATCGTGGTCTTCTGCATAGTCAGCATCACAGTATCCAACTAGCTTGCAGTCTTTGTTTCTTTTGTACAAAAGACCATAGTTGATTATACTTTTGACATATCTCAAGATCCATCGAGCTGCATCCAGATGAGACTTCTTTGAACTTTGCATGTATCGACTCATAACGCCAACTGCATAAGAGATATCAGGCCGAGTTAAAGTTAGGTAGATAAGACTACCTATTAGTTGTCGGTATGTTGTTTCATCGTTCAACTCTTTGCCTTCATGTGCACAAATCTTGACATTTATCTCCATCGGTGTTGAAACTTGCTTGCACTCTAACATGTTGAACTTCTGAAGCATATCTCTAGTATACTTTTGTTGGCAGAGAAACAATCCTTCATCTGTGCGATCAACTCCTAGGCCTAAGAAGTGTTTAAGCTCTTCTAGCTCTTTCATCTAAAAGCGTACTGATAAATTTTCTCTTGTTTGATAAATTTCTCTTTCGTTGTCCCCGGTGATAATCAAACGTCCACGTAGACCAACACAATTGTCAAATTTCCTTCTCTTTCTTTGATGAATAGGCTAGAGTCTCATGCGCAACTGAATAACCACTTTGGGTAAGAAATTCAGCAACCTTACCATACCAAGCTCTCGGTGCTTGCTTCAGTCCATTAAGAGCTTTTCTAAGCTTGCATACATAATTAGGATTAGCTGCACTCTCAAATCTCTTTGGTTGGTTCATATAAATCTCCCTGTCTAACTCTCCATGCAAGAAGGCATTCTTCACATCCATTTGCCACAGTTTCCAATCTTTACTTGCTGTGAGTGCTAGCAGGACTCGTACTGTAGTAATCTTTGCCACTAGACTGAATGTTTCATCATAGTCTAGTCCATATTGTTGAGAAAATCCTCGAGCCACGAGTCGAGCCTTGTATCTCTCGATTGATCCATTCGGTCGACGCTTTATTTTATAGACCCACTTGCAAGAGATGGGTTTGACATCTCCTAGTTTTGGCACTAGTTCCCAAGTTTGATTCTGCTCCAGGGCTATAATTTCTTCCTCCATCGCTTTCTGCCAAACCGAGTTTTGTGATGCTTCTTCATGTCTTTGGTTCGTAAACTCTATCTTCTACAATAGTTGCATTTGCATACTTAGGATTTGGCCTTTGGATTCTATTTGATCGCCTAAGTTGTTGATGTGTCGTTTCATTTTTATTAGATTCACTTGATTGAGTCACCTCTTGTTTGTCAATATCAATGTCACTTGGATTTTCAAGTGCATCAACATTTGATTGAATTTGTATAGTTTGCTCCCCCATCTTCTGTTGTAGAATTTCTTCGATGTTTGAATCTGATAAGACTTTCTTCTCCGAGGACCACCATGAAGATGCTTCATCGAAAACTACATCTCTTGATGTATAGTGTTTTCCACTTGTTGGATCACAACACCTCCATCCTTTTCTTTGATTGTCGTATCCAACAAATACACACTTACTGCTTTCTTGTCAAACTTGCTACGTAGATGGACAGGCACAAATACATAGCAAACACAATCAAATACTCGAAAGTAACTAACTGTAGGTTTCATATCCCATAGTATCTCAAATGGTGAGACGAATCCTAGCTTTGGTTGAGGAAGCTTGTTGATCACATGGGCAGCAGTTCGCATAGCTTCAGCCCAAAATCTACCTGGAACGTTCTTTGCGTGTAACATGCTTCGACAGATTTCTGCAAGGTGTCGATTCTTTCTTTTTGCTACACCATTTTGTTGTGGCGTGTTGGCACATGTAAATTGTTTGAACGTAGGCAACGAATCTTCACTCCTACTTCTCCTTCGACCATCATCTTGAATTCTTGAAACTTTGAGAACGTGTCAGACTTTTCTTTCATAAAGAAAATCCACACATATCTAGAGTAGTCGTCAATAAATGTCACCATATACCGCATTCCACTGATCGATGCTTGTTTGACCGAGCCAAACAAATCAGAGTGAATTACTCTAATGGTTTCTTTGCTTTGAAACTTGACTCTTTGTATGGTAATTGATGAGCTTTACCATATTGACATCTAGTGCAGACAACGTCTGTTTTGACTTCAAGTTGAGGTAGACCTTTGAGCATGGATTTCTCCATAATCAACTTCAACTTATGGTAGCTAATATGTCCCAATCTTGCATGCCATATATCTGTCGTCTCATTCTTTCGGGTCTTGTCAACATAGGCAGACTCTGCAGATAGAACGTAGATAGACTCTACTCTTCGTCCTTCTATTGTCGGCTTTCCTATTATCTTAACATCTTGATAAACTTTTACATCTTCTGGCCCAAACAAGACGTAGCTTCCTGATGTTGTTAGTTGTGACACTGACAACAAGTTCTTCTTTATACCCGGTACATGATAAACATTATGTAGCGACACTGTATCAGACTTATTGCCAGACATGATTGTCGTATTTCCGATTTGAGCAATTGATAACTGTGTGTTATTTGCTGTGCGTACCATACGACTTTCTTTGTACTCTTTCTTGTCTTGCAATTTTCTCTGATCGCCAGTCATGTGGTTTGAACATTCTGAATCAACGATCCAGTCATTCTCATAATTGATATGGTCTTCCATTGTCACCATGAGTGCTAGCTCGTCTTCTTATATGGGACATAGTACCTCTGCATCCCATTCATCCTCTATCTTCTTTTTGGATATTCCCACAATTATGCAAATACCTCCAAATCTCTTTTCTTGGAAACTCTTGTTGTCATTCTTCTGAGCTCTCTTAGGTTGTGCAGTTCCTTGGTAGCTTCTTCTTTTGTCACCATTGTATCCACGTTTGATAGACGACCTATTATTGCTCCGACTTTCACTTGTGTAGAGTGTTTCTTCTTCACCCTTCAATGTGATGCCTCCCATTTGTTTAGCCATGGCTTCTTGGCTGGCTAACAAATTTTCGAACTCTACAAGTGATGGTTGAGTAGGCCATCCTTGTACAACAGTAATGAAGTTTCGATATTCCGGTCGCAATCCGTGGATTATAATCCTCTTCATTCGAGATTCTACAATGGCAGACTTCGGGTCTAGTTCAGTAATCTCCCGACAAATCGACTTGACCTTGTGGAAGTACTGAGCAATCGTCATGTCACGTTGTGAAATTGACAACAACTCATTCTCCAGAAGTTGTAGCCTTGTATCGTTCTTCTTTGAGAACAACATCACAAATGTGTCCCATGCTTCTTTCGGTGTCTTGTCATCCCAAATATGTTTTAACATCTCTTCTCCGATTGTGGTCTTCAAGGCAAACATTGCTTTGCCTGCTTTGATTCTCCATTTGCGCAAGGCGCCGTTAGAATCCTCCTCTGGTGGCATAGTTTCACACTCGCCAACGATCTCCCAAAGATCTCGTCCTTGTAAATAGGATATCATGCATGTTGCCCACATGTTGTAGTTGTTGTTGTTGAGTTTCTTGATTCCTCCAATAAATTGGAAATCACCCGTCGTGTAGGCTATACCTCAGTAATACCAAACAAGCTCTTTCGACACAAGACTTGTAGAGTCACAGACTACTCACGACACAAAAGAAACTCACTCACTACTAATCTCAAGAAATCGTTTCTGATGTGGAAGATCAAATAGAGCTGCAACCATAGAGCATACTAAGAATTCCAAGAGATCAGATAACATACACTAATCTTGCTCTGATACCAGATGTTGAACACAACTCTCTGTGGGAAACACTTGCACTCTTTATTAAGATCAATCGAGAAGAGAATACAAGACACTATGTAGAATACTTTTTGGATTTCTTGGATGAATAACCTAGGTAGGGTGAAGGTGTATTTATACTAGAGCCTACACAATCTAGACCTAACAAATCTCAATCTTTTTCCTAAAATATCTAGATCTCTTCTCCTAAAATCAGATATCTTTCCTAAAATCTCTCCTAAAATAAATACACAATGGGCTCGTACAATTATTGGGCTTGACTCTATTGGGCTAGTGATGATTTCAACAGGTTTCTAGGCGCGCCTCCGGTTTGGGCCAAAAGGGAACGAGGCCTAGAGGTGGTGTCCGAGCGCGGCCTGCAAGGTGAGAGCTGCACTCTGGCCGAGACGTCTCGCGAAATGCCGAGGGTCGACCCACGCCTGCCGCTTCGTCTTCCTCGTCCGAAAGTCCCAACGACCCTAATCGCAGAGTTTGGCTACTGTCGCCGGTGGATGCGTGGTCATTCGTCCGTTCTCGGTGGCGCG